CAATGCCTTGTCCTATTTTAGGCAAATCTTAGAGATGTCAGAAACATCTCTCTGGAGAGATTTTTTGTGCGCCAGGGATACAGTGACTCTCAAGCTGGTCCTAGTGCCAGGAAAAGACAAAGAAGGGAAGTAACCCCAGACAGGGCCTGGATACCTGAAGTCCTTATGGAAGATTCCCCTTCCAAACAATAACCTCTCCTCCCTCTCCCCTCCTTGCCATCTTCCATATGCCATACATCATTTATATTTATTTCTCATTGTTTTCTATATGTAAAACTATAGTTATTCTCTATAAAATATATTTTTTGTTATTATTTTTGTGTGTCTGGAACGGATTAATTGAATTTACATTATTTCTTATGGGAAATATTGCTTCAGTTTTCATACAATTCATACAATTATGTTTGGATGGGACCGCGGTGGCTGGCTGGCTTGTAAACACTAGCCACAAGTGGACGCGTCTCGAATGGAATGAATCGTGTTGGCCGAGCTTTTTGGCGCTAGTTGAGGCAAAATTTTTGCGTTAAAATATATCGCCAGTCGGATTTAGCGTTAGACAATGCCATCATTGGTCGAGGGTCCACTGTATACGTTTTTTCAACATTTGAAAGTACAGTGGGCCCTCGACCAACGATGGCATCGTCCAACATTAAATCCGACTAGCGATACATTTTAACGCAAAAATTTTGCCTGGACTAGCACTAAAAAACTCGACCAACACGATTTGTTCCGTCTGAGACGCGTCCACTTCTGGCCAGTGTTTACAAGCCAGCCAGCCACCGCGGTCGCTTCCAAGCATACAATCGGAACATTTCATATTATCACAGCCTTTTTAGTGATTGCACCTGCAAAATAAGTCACCATGGGCCCCAAGAAAGCTTCTAGTGCCAACCCTACAGGAAAAAGGGTGAGAATTACTATGGATATGAAGAAAGAGATCATTGCTAAGTATGAAAGTGGAGTGCGTGTCTCCGAGCTGGCCAGGTTGTACACAAAATCCCAATCAACCATCGCTACTATTGTGGCCAAGAAAACGGCAATCAAGGAAGCTGTTCTTGCCAAAGGTGCAACTATGTTTTCGAAACTGAGATCGCAAGTGATAGAAGATGTTGAGAGACTGTTATTCGTGTGGATAAACGAAAAACAGATAGCAGGAGATAGCATCTCTCAAGCGATCATATGTGAAAAGGCTAGGAAGTTGCATGACGATTTAATTAGAAAAATGCCAGCAAATAGTGGTGATGTGAGTGAATTTAAGGCCAGCAAAGGTTGGTTTGAGAGATTTAAGAATCGTAGTGGCATACATAGTGTGGTAAGGCATGGTGAGGCTGCCAGTTTGGACCACAAAGCAGCTGAAAAATATGTGCAGGAATTCAAGGAGTACATAGACAGTGAAGAATTGAAACCTGAACAAGTGTTTAATTGTGACACTGACAATGTTATGAAACACTTTAGGAATATCATAAAGGAATGGGAGGTACAGGCCTCTATGGACAGATATGTTGTGCGACAGAGGTCCAGTGACTCTCAAGCTGGTCCTAGTGGCATTAAAAGAAGAAGGGAAGTAACCCTGGAAAAAGACTTGACAACTCAAGTCCTAATGGAAGGGGATTCCCCTTCTAAACACACACCATCTACAGTCTCCCCTCCTCCCATCCCATCAATCATCACCAGATCTTCAATAAGGGTAAGTGTCATGTAATTATACATGTCTTCTTCAGTTTATGTGTATTAAAATTGATATTTCATGTAGTAACATTTTTTTTTTCAATACTTTTGGGTGTCTTGCACAGATTAATTTGATTTCCATTATTTCTTATGGGGAAAATTAACTCAACTAATGATAATTTCAATTAACGGTGAGCTCTCAGGAACAAACTAATATCGTTGGCCGAGGGTCCACTGTATGTAAAAAAAGTTGATCTTCTTTTTGTTTATTTACATTTGAAAATGTGTAAAAAACTTTGATCTACTTTTTTTTTGTTATATTTGAAAATATGTAAAAAAACGTACATCTACTTTTGTAGCACTACACATGTGAACGTAGATCTGCTTGGACCATTTACGGGTTAAACCTGAGATAACTTGATGTGACTATATTAAACCTGAGATAACTTGATGTGACTATATTAAACCTGAGATAACTTGATGTGACTATATTAAACCTGAGATAACTTGATGTGACTATATAAACCAGAGATAACTTGATGTGACTATATTAAACCTGAGATAACCTGATGTGACTATATTAAGCCTGAGAGGCGTGGAGTTAAAAGATAAAGAATCACACATAAAGTGGGAGTTGTCACAGTTGCTCTTTGCTGATGACACTGTGCTCTTGGGAGATTCTGAAGAGAAGTTGCAGAGACTGGTGGATGAATTTGGTAGGGTGTGCAAAAGAAGAAAATTGAAAGTGAATACAGGAAAGAGTAAGGCTATGAGGATAACAAAAAGATTAGGTGATGAAAGATTGGATATCAGATTGGAGGGAGAGAGTATGGAGGAGGTGAATGTATTCAGATATTTGGGAGTGGACGTGTCAGCGGATGGGTCTATGAAAGATGAGGTGAATCATAGAATTGATGAGGGGAAAAGGGTGAGTGGTGCACTTAGGAGTCTGTGGAGACAAAGAACTTTGTCCTTGGAGGCAAAGAGGGGAATGTATGAGAGTATAGTTTTACCAACGCTCTTATATGGGTGTGAAGCATGGGTGATGAATGTTGCAGCGAGGAGAAGGCTGGAGGCAGTGGAGATGTCATGTCTGAGAGAAATGTGTGGTGTGAATATAATGCAGAGAATTCGTAGTTTGGAAGTTAGGAGGAGGTGCGGGATTACCAAAACTGTTGTCCAGAGGGCTGAGGAAGGGTTGTTGAGGTGGTTCGGACATGTAGAGAGAATGGAGCGAAACAGAATAACTTCAAGAGTGTATCAGTCTGTAGTGGAAGGAAGGCGGGGTAGGGGTCGGCCTAGGAAAGGTTGGAGGGAGGGGGTAAAGGAGGTTTTGTGTGCGAGGGGCTTGGACTTCCAGCAGGCATGCGTGAGCGTGTTTGATAGGAGTAAATGGAGACAAATGGTTTTTAATACTTGACGTGCTGTTGGAGTGTGAGCAAAGTAACATCTATGAAGGGGTTCAGGGAAACCGGCAGGCCGGACTTAGAGTCCTGGAGATGGGAAGTACAGTGCCTGCACTCTGAAGGAGGGGTGTTAATGTTACAGTTTAAAAACTGTAGTGTAAAGTACCCTTCTGGCAAGACAGTGATGGAGTGAATGATGGTGAAAGTTTTTCTTTTTCGGGCCACCCTGCCTTGGTGGGAATCGGCCAGTGTGATAATAAATAAAAAATAACTTGATGTGACTATGTTAAACCTGAGATAACTTGATGTGACTATATAAACCAGAGATAACTCAAAGTTTACATTATAATTAATAGAGTGAATTATACAAGTTTACATTACTTCAGAATAATGTTAAAAAATACACACACCAAAAAAAATTAGATAATCTATACCTACTTTGAGGTGCTGGAAAGAATTATACACTTGTACAACATCTGTGCATCTTAATTCTCTAGACGTTTTGCCCACCAATGGTTTCATCAGTACGATGCAGAAGACTGAAGCAGTGGAAGATAAGGGAATCAGTCCCCTCACTTGCTCCTAGGCTGAGGGACTGTTTCCCTAATCTTCCACTGCTTCAGTACGATGCAGAAGACTGAAGCAGTGGAAGATAAGGGAATCAGTCCCCTCACTTGCTCCTAGGCTGAGGGACTGTTTCCCTAATCTTCCACTACTTTAGTTTTCTGTATTGTACTGATAAAGCCACTGGTGGGTGACATGTCTACTGAATAAAGATACCCAGGTATTGCGCAGGTGTCTAATTCATCAGTGGCAAGTGGAGAGTGAGAGGACACTTGTGTTTTATACAGAAATGTTCATCAGTCTTTAAAATGACAGCAGTTTGTATGTTGTTTACTGGGATATTAGCATCAATATCCTGTGGATGTTTGTAAGTCTTCTTAAAAGTGACGTTTGGTAAGTTCATCAGTTTTATATTGTGAACATTTGTAGATGATCTTAAAAGTAACATTCAGCAAGTCTTATGAATCATTGTACACAAAATTTAAAGTTACACCTACCATCCGACTTACAACCTGCTCGACTTACGACCACTCGACTTACGACTGTGTTTTTTATGCCAAGTTTCTGGGAAATAAACAACTATTTGTGTTGTACGCAGTGTTCATCCTAAACCTTACAGTATAAAATACAGTACTAACAGCATAAAAAGTAAAGTAAAACATGAAATACCAAAATAAAACAATAAAATAAAGTCATTACAAAAATGTTTTGTTGATATTCAGTAGTAAAGTTCGACTTATGACCATTTCGACTTACGACCAGTTTCTCGGAACCGTACTCGGTCGTAAGTCGGATGGTAGGTGTATATTGTAAAAAACATAAAATAAATTAGTGTATTTTTTCCATTATTTTAAAAGAATGTTATCTGGAGGAATCTTATATTGAGAGTTTATGATATTCATTAAAAACAATAAACTAGAATAAAAGAGGCCTAGATATAGAAATTTTTCAATAATGGAACATAAAGTCAGGACTTGAGCAGCCAGGCTGTGGTTCATATGTTGGATTACATGCAGCCAGCATTAACAGCCTGGTTGATCAGGCTCTGATCCACTATAAAGCCTAGTCACAGATCAGGCCATGGGGAGCACTGACCCCTGGAACTGATACATAGACCCCAGGTACTAGGCCTGGCCATCATGTAAAATGTTGTAATAATGGAACGGCGAATAACAAAGTCTGAATTTTTTAAGAATATAATAGGCCTACATCTGCCTAAAAAAAAATTATTACATATTTACATGTATAATACTGTACAGCATACAAAGAAATATAAGAATATTTTATTATATGCAAAATAATGTACTGCATAAAAAATCTAAATTTTAAATTTTACTTCTGACGAGACAAAAGAAGTCTTACCGTTGTCTGTTAACAGGCAAGCAACAGGAGGCCTTGGTGAAACCTTCTTGTCCCGTACATGATCTTCGTGGATCTTCTTCAGTGTGATATTCTCACTAACATGATGATTGTGACCTCATACGACCCAGCGTTACTCCATCTTTTGCCAGCTGCCCATCGTGACCAGGTAGTTAACCCGTTTGAGCCAATTTTCACCATAGATTATTTAAAAAAAAAAAGCCTCTCTAGAGGCCTATGGGTCATACAGCATTTACCATAGATAATATTGAGGAGCACTAAACCCACATGGGTCAAACAGTCATTTTCATATTATTAGCTATATTATCATATATCTTACTAAAAAATATTCCTGATATATTATCCAAGCACCATTGAGGTGGTTAATGTTTATAGAATTTATTTGTCAACTATATATATGGATTTATATAGATTTAGTATCACAATAATGAAAAAATGGAGGAAGAAATTTATATATTAAATGAAAAATATAATGTTAATAGGACTCAGTGATGAGATAACTGAGTAAATATAAATTTCACATAAATCCTATAAAATACATTCTATATAAATATATATATATACACAGGGACTCCTCAATAACGACTGAGTTCTGTTCCTATAACTAGGTTTGTTAAGCAAATTGGTTGATAAGCGAGAAGTGTCATCACAGGACTGATCAGCAGGATTATCAGGTGTAGAGCACCTGGGTAAGGGAGATGATGGTGAGGACATGAAAGGACTTGTTGGGGTAGGGGTCTGGGGTGTAGCTTTCCACAAGAATCCCATTACTTTGGTCTGCTTTGTAATTTTCTTTTTTCTTCATAAATTTCACAATAGCATAGTAAAAGTTCATCCATTTGCCATTCCACTTTCGTGAACTGTTCAACATTTGTGTCCATATCTTCTAGTTCTAATATACCATGATTCACTTTTCCAAACACACTAGCTAACTCCTTTTCAGTGAGCTTCTTTTGTACTTCTATTCTTTCTTCTTCTTCGTTTTCCAAGTTCTGCTGTGCTTCCAACTCTATTAAATCTTTGTTAGTTAGCTCTCTCTCAACATATTTCACTAACTCTTCAATATCTTCCACAACATCTACAGTGTTAGTTACGGCATTATGACGCCCCTCCCCCACACACGTACCAAAACACAAACACATACCATGAAAGATTATAATATATATATTTGCACACTTACTGAGCTTTTAATACTTGGTGCTGCATCTTTTATGCTTAATCACATCCCTCAGCCATGTAGGAAGACTCTCACACAAATTCTTGAGGGTTTGGGGAGGTATATTATTCCATGCCTCATGTAGAGCAGCCTCCAGCCGCAAGATGGAACTGATATCCTTGCCCAGTAAACTTCGTTTCACTATTGACCAGAGGCTCTCAATAGGGTTTAGGTCTGGGGAACTGCCTGGCCAGTCATTAAAGAACCTCACTTCACAGTGGTTAAGCCACTGAACTACAGATTTGACATGGTGCACCGTCCTGCATAAAACCATAGCCCCCACTCTTGTTAAACGCCTCGGGTAAATTGTCACACAATAACTCCAGTTAATTGTGCTGGTTCATATACTGGTTTTTGGGAAGCACAATGAGTTCACCAACACTGAGCACTGAAACACCCCCAAACCATGAGTGAGTCTGGGTGTTTGGTGGTCCCACAGGTGTAGCGTGGATCTAGCGGGTCACTACCTCTGGGCCGGTACACATTCCCCACGGTTACAGGTGATGGTGAAGGTTGCTTCATCACTCCAAAGTACTTCAGACCACTGTTGAGGATTCCAGTGAAAATATTTCTTTGCATAATCCAGCCTATGTTTCTTCTGTGGCTTGGAGAGGATCGGTTTCTTAACCTGGCGGTGACTACTGTAGCCCAGTTCTGACACACATCTATTAACAATTCTTACAGACACCTCTGAGAAAAGATGTGGGTTCTTTTCTTTCAATTCTCTAGTAGTTATCCTAGGTGTACTCTCTAACTGATTCTTTAAGAAATTACTAATTTAGCCAATATCACACAAAATTCAAGAAAGGCCACTTTCAAAATAGGGGCCAGAATAAACAATACTGACATTTCTGGCACTAAAATAAAAAAAATTCTGTTCATTAGTCACATCTCCTATCCCCTCTTATATTACACTTGCTTTTCATTTCGAATTTTTATTCACACAAAAAATAATGATTTACTGTTATTCAGACTATTGCATAACTGTAATAACTGTATAAATAATATCAGCGTATTCATGAATGCATATCAGACCCACCAGTTGACATGTATTGGACATATAATGTGATTTGTTTACATTGAACATTGTCAAAAATCGAACATTTCTGCTACTTTGAGCTAAATTTCAAGCTACTTTTAGTCAGTAAACCATTCAAAAGCACCTCTATTTCTGTAATACATATATATCTTTCATTCTGTCAAATGAGACCAAGAAAACAAGGATACAACCATAAATACCGTATGTAAATACACCGCGAAGTCGCTGTTTTAAACCAAAATGCAGTCGCAGTTTTTTTTTCTCATTATGCACTGCTTGCTGCAGAATTTTTTTTTTATACTGAGCACACGAACCACAGAGACCCATTCTCTCATATGTAGGCCTACCAGCTTTCTCCCACAAGATCTGAAACTGCTAGAATTTTGTAGTAGTATTACAGGACCGACATTGGCTTCAAAGCTATAATATTACGGCACAGACACCAAAGGGGTTAATTATTATTATATTTATTATTGTATACAAGAGAAAATGAGATGCAGAGAATGTAAACACACTTAGTGTAAACTGAGAAGTGGTCAGACGAATGCCTATTAAGACCTGTTAACTTTCTGTTGATACACGTTCATTTTGTATTATGCATGCTTTAATGAAGATTTTTTCCCCACAATACAAACACCTTATATTGTGTACAAGGTGTCTTTAGATTTGTGAAGACAGCTTAACACTGACATGTTCATCTTTGTCAAGCCATTCTATGCTTAATGCTGAGACACCATGCTGCCATTTCCACGACCAATGTTCTTATACAGTTGTACAATACCGACTGGTCAAAGAGCTGGTCATAAGTCCGTGCAAATCTAGAAGAAGTGCTCTGAAACTGAGTCTAGAGCAGCTGTTGATACCTTACCATCAGCTGTATAAAGTACTGCAGGGTAAAAGGAGACCAGAAATGCATTACAGAATTTATCTCTACTCCAGTATAACCATCAACTTTAGTGCCAGAGCCTCAACTATCCACCTCAGTTGACAATCCACAACCATCCTGGAGGCCTGGTCACAGACAGTTGATCTCCGAAACACTCTACAGGTATCCACCTCAACCCAGTAGGGTTATAGCATCCCTCTCCACTCTCTTCACAATCGACAAACACCAGCAACCACAATTTAAGGTAAGAAATATTATTTCTGTAACATTTGTAGCTTTAAGCAATACAGCAGACTGTCGATTACCATGGTAGTTACGTTCCTGAAAATACAGTGTAAGATGAATTTGTGTTAAAGGAACTCGGGAACTTATGAGAAAAATAGGGTTACATTCCTAATACCTCCAAAAAAGCCAAACAACTTTGCTTTTAGGACTCAAAAATCTTACAAAAATAAAAATGGTAAGGTAATTATTGTTCATTGTCATTATGTATTATGTTTTTTCTGTTGCTTAAGGCTACCAATGCAACAGAAATAATATTTCTTACCTTAAATTGTGGTTGCTGATTTTGTTGATTGTGAATTGAGTGGAGAGGCATGCTGTCACCCTACTGGGCTGAGATGGATGGTAGTCAAGTCAGTCAGTCAGTCAAGTCAGTCAGTCAGTCAAGTCAGTAAGTCAATCAGTTTATTTAGGTAAATATACACATAAATACAGTTAAATAAATTATTATACATAGCAGCATACGTAAACACTGCATGTAACGATTGGCAGTATTCAGGAATCAGCTAAGTTAATCACAAACAGTGTGGGAAATTTTTTATAATTTTCCTGAATGTAAATAGATAATATGTGTGTAAAATTGTGACACTGATTTGACCTTCGAGAAATATGCCATAATTTTGCAATGATGAAATCGAAAAAATGTAGTAAAAGAACCTGTGTTAACTGACGGTCTACTGTACATTAACCCTTTTGGGGTTGGTCCTGTAATATTACATCTTTGAAGCCAGGGTCGGTCCTGTAATAGTACACCAAAATTCTAGCGGCTTCCATTCTTGCGGGAGAAAGCTGGTAGGTCTACATATGAAAGAATGGGTCTGTGTGGTCAGTGTGCAGTATAAAAAAATCCTGCAGCAAGCAGTGCATGAGAAAAAACTGCAACCGAATTTTTGGTGTAAAACAGCCACTTCATGGTGTGTTTTCATATGTTTTTTATGGTTGTATTCTCGGTTTATTGGTCTCATTTGATAGAATGGAAGGTATATTACAGAAATAGCAATGATTTTGAATGGTTTACAGACTAAAAGTAGCTTGAAATTAATGTCTGACATATAATAAATGGTTTAAAAAACGACAAGTTGATAACTGAGACACTTAGGCAACATATGGGAATCTTTATTGAGGAAACGTTTCGCCACACAGTGACTTCATCAGTCCAATACAAAGCATAAAGGTGTAAGGAGAGGAGGAGTTTGAGGTAATAAGTCCCTCAGCCTGGAGTCGATGTTTTCAATCCATCAATCTTGTAGAATATACAGCATAGGGCCATAGACATGGCTTATATACTGTAGTCAGGTGAGGCAAAGCAGGAGGAGGCAGGGTCATAGTGGTACCATCCACTAGTCTAAGTATGTCTTCATCCAAAGGTTGAACAAGAGTTGAAGAATTCTTTGTTTCAAGATCCCATGATGCTGCAGTGTCTGACAGATGTGACAAATGGAATTCTTCAACTTTTGTCCAACCTTTGGACGAAGACCTTCTTAGACTAGTGGATGGTTCCACTATGACCCCACCTCCTCCTACTTTGCCTCGCCTGACTACAGTATATAAGCCACGTCTATGGCCCTATGCTGTACATTCTACAAGATTGACGGACTGAACACATCGACTCCAGGCTGAGGGACTGATTACCTCAAACTCCTCCTCTCCTTACACCTTTCTGCTTTGTATTGAACTGATGAAGCCACTGTGTGGCAAAACGTCTAGAAATACATACATGTACAAAGTATTTATAGGTCTCACCAATGTTTTAGAAATGCCAGAGTATATATGAAACTCCTTGAAGCATAGTCTTAAGATGAGTGTCACTAAACTGGCATGCTGCTCTTACCTGTATTTTTTGTACCTCTGTTTGTATGCTAAATTTCTAAATAAATAAATAAATAAATTGCAGCAGTGGAGTGACACTTGAATGTGCACTGCTCCAAGGAACTCTGGCTTTATTTGTTTTCATAGTTACACACACACATGTATGTCTGTCTATCTGTC